TAAATATATACCTTCTGATTTCCTACCCTCCTTTTTTATTCAGTAGGAATTATACCTGTTTCATACCTTGGCCTCTTGTAATCACATAACTTCATACCTGTTCTTGGAATGCATGACCATGTAACAATCTACATTGTTACATTTGATTATTTGATAGCTACATAGGCTTCTGCATGATATGCCATTGTCTAGTTGTGCTGTCATTTTTTTTTACCAATCTTTTATTGGTAGGCACTGAAGTGTACAGATGTGACAGTTAAGCATGATTGTGTCCATTTGATTGGCTTGGTATCTGGCTGGGGGATTGGTGGAGCACACTTCTGAGTGTGTCTGGGTGGGTCATGGAAGCATGACCTTGGTGCTATGTCTGGTCCCTTTCTCCTTCCTCTCTGATACTATTTCCCATGTCTACATCTTAGCCATCATGACCAGCAATTTTTGCTTTGCTCTACCATGCCCTTCCACTATGTTTCTGCCATGGAACTAGCTGACCATGAACTGAATCCCTTTAAAATGTGAGCCAAATCAAACCTTTAAATTTGGGGTGTTGGGTATTTTGTCCAACAATGGAAAAGCTGACCAATACAACAAGGTTCTTCTACTCCAGAGAAGGCTATATTAAAGACATGTATCTATCTATCTATCTATCTATCTATCTATCTATCTATCTATCTATCTATCTATCTATCTATCTCTGAGTCTAGCTTTTCTGTATGGAGAGATGCTAAGACAGAAATGACCAGGAGGTACCTTTTCCTTCTTTAGGGACTGTGGAAGTTTAGTCAGTCTCTGACTTATGATTGTCCAACTTACAATTTTTCAATTTTATGCAGAAGCAATATGCAGAGCAGAAACCATATTTTGAGTTAAGAATTCTGATTTCAGGCTAGTGATATTTGGTATAATACTCTCTTGTGATGCAACTGATACTCTTCAGTGAACTGTGTGGCTAAACTATGATGTTTGGTAGGTTAGGGGTTGTTATAGCTTAGATCTAAAATGTCCCCTCAAAGTTTCATGTATTTGGAGATGGGGTTTTTGGAAGCTGATTAGATCATGGGGACATGGTACTTATTGGTAGATTATTGATGAGTTCACAGCTGAATGAGCTGTTATGATGTTGGGCCTGATTGGAGGAAGTGGGTCATTGGCATTGGGGTTGTGACCTGGAAGAGTGCTTTCTTGTGCTGGGCCCCTTTCTCCCTCTCTGTTTCCTGCTGCCCTAAGGTGAATACCTTTTCCTGTACTATGACCCTCCACCATGCTGTTTCTGCCTTGGAGCCAGCCAATAAATGTGAGCCAAAAGAACATTTCCTCTTTTAAGCTGTATATGCCAGGTATTTGTTCCCAGCAATAGAAAGCTGATGAACACAGGGGTATTAATGCACTTTTGACTTATCATATTTACAACTTAAGATGAGTTTATTGTGATAGAACCCCATTGTTAAGGGGAGAAGCACTTGCAATAGGATTCATTGGAAGGTGTCTAGGAAATGGGAATGGTGGAGCTATGAACTAAGTCTACATCCATTAGTTATAAAAGTGTGAAATCATGTTGTTTTTATATTGGGAACAAGGCATACATTACGATCGACACTTGTTTTTTTTTAATGTATACAGAGGAGCCACAGTTAATCCTGTACTTCTTAAAAAAGCATCTCTACGGGTGTTGGAAAATGAAGGGAAGAGATAATATAAATATGGGGCATATGAATGTCAATTTTGCTATGGGAAATGTGTCTATATAAACAAAGGAATTAGGTCATTTAACTGATAAGTGATTTATAAAATATTTTATTTACAGAAAGTGATAAACTTACATGAATTAAAAAGATAAAACCTTAAACATTAAAGATCTTCTGAACTTGTAGAATCTCAGGGGTCAGTTCTCTGTCTTCTGCCATTAAGAACTTGGTGGTGGTAATAGTGGTAGGGTTGAGAACTTCTAGTATCTATTGGAGTTGTTTTTTTTCTGACAACCCCACCCCCCTTACTGGGTATCGTGCTGAAGACCTTGCACTTACTGTTGCACTTACTGTTCAAGCACAGCTCCACTGAGCTACATCCCCAGCCTGGGCCTGGGGTTGCTTTTTTCATGGATAATTAGGAGGGAATGCTAGCTTCTTATTTTTTCTGCTTTACTATGCTCACTTAAGTTTTGAGGTAAATCTTCCTCTGGGCAGAAATGCACCTTTTTTTCCATTCATAAATCTCCCATGAATGGGTGATGAGTAGAAATAGAAAGGAGGTCTTCAGTGCTGCTGCCGGGCCAGTGACTTTTAATTGTCCACTGGCTCTCTCCTCCGTGTATAGCCATTTGCATTAATGCATTGATTCCTTCAAAATCTCTTGAGAATCTACCATCTGATTCAAAGACACAAAGGTGATGAGAATTACTGAGAGGGCCAAATAATAGTAAAATAACTTGGAAATACAGGGTTAAGATTGTTGGACCAGTTATGAGTCAGAAAGGGAGACTTGCTTAGGAAAACAGCCATGTCTTATTAGGCTTGCTAGAGGAGACTCCAGAGCCAGAATGTAGTGTTAAAGAGGGAGAGGAGGAGGAGCAAGGAAAGAGGAAGGGAAGGGGTCTCATAAGTACCAGTTAGCGTAGTATGGAAAGATGAAGAGGCTTGCCTTCATGAAAGAGCTCTGTGCTGCTGAAACTTGATTGAAAAAATAAAAGCCTGCCTTCTTGTCCCACCAGAAACAAGTTAAAAAAAAAAAAGAGAAAACCAAAGCAAAAACCTCCATAAACAAAACCAAAACAAAAAACCAACCAAGTAAACAAATGAAACATTGTTGGAAGGGCAGTAAGAGCCAGATCAAGGAGAGTGGCATATACCTTATTAAACATTTGGCTTTTGTTTCTTGGGGTTTACTGGAGAATTTGAAACAATATGTGAAGAAATCCGATAATTCCATTTTGCATATTCAGCCTGGAGACTCTGTAGGAGTTGGTCTGAAAGGCATAGGCAGGAGTGAGAAGCCCTTTAGGAAGCTGTTTATGTGACTGCAGGTGAGAAAGCCATGTTTGTCAACATAAGCCACGTTACTCCATGTTAGATCACCTGGCAGATGACAGTGTGCTCATCTTTCTTCTCCCCTGCAGCTTCTCAGGCTATGCAACTTTCTTTTTCTATTTTTTAAAAATTATTTATTTCTTTATTTTTTGATTTTGTGAGCAAAGGTCTCACTATGTAGCTCGCCTGGCCTTGAACTCACTGTGCAGCCCAGCCTGGCCCTGAACTCACAGCAGTCCTCAGCTCTTGATGTTTTATATCAGAGAATTTGTTTGGATAATATTGGAAATCCCATATTTGAATGAGGAACTCTTCTGTTAATCTCTAAGTCTCATTATCAAAGAGACAGTCTTTGGAGAGACTATTTAGTTGGCATTTTATTGAGCACCTATTATTCATACAGAATCCTGAAATACCAAGACGTTCTTTCAGTTTCAACAGCCATCCATCTAATCTATTGGAGACAACACCCTGTCCTTTCAGGCCTGTTTCTTTACCTTCACTAACAAAAAACAAAATGGCCAACTGGCCAATTAAAGGGCCTTCACTTCTATAACTATCAGAAATTATGGGAAACTTAACATCTTTGGGCTTTACATTCTTTGGAATTTAATGAATAGTTCTTTATTTCCATCCCACACCCCCAATTCTTTTAAATGAATTTAATTCCTACCCTTCCCATTTTTCACACTGAAAAAGATGTACAGTAAAGATAGATTCTAAAATTGGTTAATTGGTGTACTCTTATTACAATATTTCCCAAGTTATTTACCATTTGGTTCTTTATTATCTTGCTCCATTTTGCTTTCTGGGTAGATGAGGGGATCATAGAACCCAAGATTAGAGCAAGTCTGATTTCTTTATATAGAAAGAAAGGGTACTGGAAATATTTTCTTGCTCTGTCTTGATCTTTCTGCTTTGGAAAGCACCCAGTGAAAAGGCCTTCACACTTAGCTCCATCCTAACATGGGCAACTTAGTGACTTAGTGAGGTCCTGTCTCAAAATGAAAAGATAAAAAACAGGGTGAA